GCTCCCTGGCCCCCTTACCCCGCCGCTCAGAACATGATGTTGGGCTCTGTGCGGAGCTGGACACGTGGCTGCGCTCCCCAGCGCAACACACAACCCGGTCCCTGCCCCTGCACAGTGCTGCCGGAGCGGGACGCTGGGCTGCCGGGGAGGAGGGGCTGCCGAGGCCGATGCAAAGGGCCCGGCAGGCCGGCCGGCTCAGAATGCGGGGGGGCGGGGAGGAGGAGCTCTACAGCTGCTCCGGAATCTAGCCCTGCAAGCTGCAGGGGGAAGGGCTCTGGCTGCCAGAGCCCCAGGTGAGAGGCTGACTTTCCTGCAGCCCTCTCAGCTGCACCTCGTCTGCCTGGGGGGGAATCCCGGACATTTTGAGTGATTTACAAATTCCCCCCCGGACGCTATTTTTAACACAAAAAGGAGGACATGTCCGGGTAAATCCAGACGAATGGTAACCCTAACCTGGTTGAAGAGGGGAAGGAGAGAAGGGAGATCTATTTATTTACAAAACTTCTTTTCTCCTAAATTCATTGCTGAGCCTTTGTGTAATTCCAATAAGCAGAATCAAAGTAAAGTCATAGAGTTGACTGATCTAGTTTCAGTCTGTTGGCTTTTGTGATGTCATAATTGCATAAGTTTTCCAGTAATGACAGTGTCTTCCAGGGCTGATAAGAACTGAATTTCTAATTCAGAAAAACAAAAACATTTAGGCACTCTTTAAATAAACAGAGGAAAGGGAACAAACAAAGTTTTATTTTTTCTTTGCTGGTTACTTATGGATAGTGAAATATTGTTAATTAGACCCAACTTAGCCACTTTTGGAATGTCACTGATTGTCCTTAACAGGGCTCAGTGTTTCTTATTGTATCTTGTCAGGATTCTTTAATTGTGCTGCAAAGCCAATAGAGAAGACAGTTCTGCACAAAATGCTGGACTCCACAATTTGTTGCAGATGTCAAAGGTTGTATCTCCATAAGGAGTGCTAACCCTCATATGAAATCCTTAGCAGTATCCCTGTAACATCTATGCCCACAATTGCCATAAAGAGTGCATAGGTTAGGATTGCATTTGCTGTATGCAAGTCTACCCATCCTGTCAGTCTCCAGTCAGTACTGCACCAGAATAGATAGCGAGCACTGGCATAACAGTTGCAATGGTACAATCAGTCCTGCCATCACAATCCTGTTGTGTAGACTGCCTCACCAACCCGATGTAAACTTCTTGGAACTGGCCACCATGAGGCACCAAGGTTTGCATCATCATACAGGGATAGCCTTTTATATACAGGTAAGGACAGCGAGGCTTTTGTTACAGCCATGTGGGTCTATGTGCTAAATTAACTACAGAAGCGAGAGCTACCCCCAAAGACATTTGAAAGTGTTTTTTAAAATAAGTACAGAAAAGAACATGTTAAACACTTATGACATTTCAATTTTTAAATATTTTCAACTTTGTCTGAATTACACTCCCAAATTTGTTACTGAGAAATTAAGTAATACACCTTCAGATGGGTCCAATACAGTTTTTCAGCATATAGCTTTTCCTGTGTTGAATGAAAGAACATTTTCTGAATTGAAAAGTATAATTTGGCAGAAATTTGGACCAAACTGCTTTCAGTTTTGTTTTTAATTTAACTGGTAAATATTACATGTACCGGTAGGTTGAATATGAGTAATGATTTTCATAAAATAACCAACTTTCAAGGCAAGGGAGCACTGTAACCTTAATTATAATTAATACAAGAAACTGCCCACCCCAATTTTAATTAATATTTTAGCATTTTTTTTTATTTTGAAATCCACAGCCCCTGTTCTGCAAATGTGCATGTAACTAATTTTACTCCTGTTGAGTAGTTCCACTGATAAGTGCACAAGGGTTGCAGGATTTGGGTCTTTAACCACAATCTTGCAAAAATATATCATATGCAAGTGAGTAAATGTTTGCACTATTGAGTTTCCTAAGTAAAAGAATGGTAAATTGCAAAATGGCACATACCTATTCAAAGATCATAAACCAGTTGATTGAGAAAGATAGCAACAAGAACCCTGTCAACAAAACAAGTCACATCGCTGCTAGATGTTAACAACGGCTATGGGAATACTGTAACTATTAGCCAAGATGGTCAGGGATGCAACCACATGCCCCAAGTGTCCCTAAGCTCTGACTGCCAGAAGCTGCGACTGGAAAACTGGGGATGGATCCTGTTCTGTTCACTCCCTGAGTTATCTGGCACCAGCCACTGTCAGAAGAAGACAAGATACTGGGCTGGATACACAGGGGCCTGCACAGGCATTTAAATTTGACTGCTTTTGGAGAGGTATGTTAAATACATGATGTTATGAGGAAGTACAATACACCCTCCCTATAATAAAGTCCTGGGGATACAAGCCATTTAGCCATTATAGCCAGGGATTCATTATAGCAAAAGAGGGTAGGCGGGCGGGGAGGGAACAGTTCCCTTGGCCACAGGGGGAGCTCAGCTCCCCTGGCTGCAGGGGAGAGTGGGCCGGAAGAGCTCACTCTCTCTCTCCCCTGTGGCCCTGAGGCAAGAGGAGCTTGTGTGCCCCTGCCTGTCCCTCCTTGTACACACATCCCTGGTTGGCTGGACCCTTGCTCTGACTTGACCCAGTAGATTCTTAAGCTAAGGTCCAGATCCATGATAGATCAATGGTAATTAATCAAATGCCTCATATTTTGTTGATTTCCATTTCAGTTGCCCTAAGGCTTCATTGCATGATGTCACGGCATGCGATGTTTGCAAAAGAGTGAGGTGGGATTTGATAGCAGCCTTCAACTACCTGAAGGGGGGCGCCAAAGAGAATGGAGCTCAGCTGTTCTCAGGGGTGGCAGATGATAGAATAAGAAGCAATGGTCTCAAATTGCAGTGGTGGAGGTCTAGGTTGGATATTAGGAAAAACTATTTCAGAAGGAGGGTGGTGAAGCACTGGAATGGGTTCCCTAGGGAGCTGGTGGAATCTCCATCCTTAGAGGTTTTTAAGGCCCGGCTTGACAAAGCCCTGGCTGGGATGATTTAGTTGGTGTTGGTCCTGCTTTGAGCAGGGGGTTGGACTAGATGACCTCCTGAGGTGCCTTCCAACCCTAATCTTCTATGATTCTGTGTGCACAAAATGTGACCCCACCCTGATTTCTTCATTTCACTCATTACCGCCAGTCTGCATGTTTGCTTTTCCAACCTGGTGCCCAGCTCAAGTGCATAATCAACAACACGTGCCCCCAAAGCAGAAAAAGCCTGCACGCACCCCACACGCCTATGCCGCTGATCGCTGCACGGCTTATTTAGCGTGCAGGGCGGAAGCCGCCGGATCGCTCGCGTGGCTGCTGCTGCCGCCCCCATTGCCCAATACTGCCCGAGGTTTCTTCCCTTGCCGCAGGGCCGCGCTCCGTCTGGCGCAGCCGAACGGTGCCTGGCGGCTCCCGCTTGTCCCGCGGCGCGGGGGCTGGGCAGAGCCAGGGGCGCTGCGAGGGACGGCGGCTGGCGCTAGGAGGACCCGGGAGCGGCTCGTCTCACTGCGCCCGGGGCCACCTCGCAAGCGGTAAGTGCCCCCCCGGCAGAGCAGGGCGGGGGCTAGCGCGAGCCCTGCCACGGAATAACCGCGCTGGGGAGGCCGAGTCCCGCGGGAGTGGGGCTGTCTCCCACATGTGCGTGGGCAATCGGGGGGTGGGCTCCTGTGACCAGCCCCAGAGGAGTGGGGACCGGACGGTGCTTCTGTGGCCAAGTCTCCCAAGCTGGGTCGCGGCCAGGACACGACTATTTATCAGGGAAGCTGGTTCTGCTCTGCGGGGTCTGATACCAACATGCACCCGCCTCCGACCCCCATTAATAGGCTTATTGCAGCTACATGGTGGTGCTAAACGGGCGGGTTTGAAACAACCGAGAGTTCGCCTTGCGGCGTCTGTCCTTTCTATTCCCACTTGATTCACTGCATTTCCTTAGAGTCGCCTCCCCGAACAGTGCATCTGGCTGAATTTCATGTGTTGCACATGAATAAGGCTGCACTTCATTTTAAAAGCTAATCAAACAATGTTTGACTTATTCTGCCTTTCAGAAACCAGGATTCTGCATTTCTATGTTGCCACTCATCTCAAAGAGTCCCAAAGCATCTAACAGCACAAACCATAGGGTGGGATTATTTCTTGCACCACTGAAATGCAGCAAGCTCTGGGGTGCAGCATAGCTGCTATTCATATTTTTAAAAACTAGTCCTCACCATGTTCTAGCTTAACTGAAATCTACATTGACATCCCTCTCCTCCTACCTTTCCTTCCCCCTCCCCTTACAATTTCCCTTTAAACTTGAATCACCCATAGAGCGTCTCTTTGTTCTAAATAAATAAATTTCTGCAATCTGGACTCTGTTGTGGGTGTGAGGGGAAGCTCATGCTGCTTCCATGTGAGAGACTTGAGTTACCATTGATGAGGTTTCCTGCAAATTGTACTTTTGTAAGTGGAATGGGTGGGGTTTGCTCCCTCTCTCCCACACTATTAACAGTAGGTTTCTTCCAAACTTACAGATTGGGCAGGAGCAGAGGTTTAGGGTGAGATCCATGAAGGGATACCAGCATTGCAACACTGAGCACCTTGGTGCCTAGACAATCACAGGGACAATGCTGCAATCCATAAAGACTGAGGCACCCTTAGGCTTCCTATGCAATGAAAGGGGAGAGAAATAGGCACCAGAGAATGGTGAGCTGCGAAGCCAGCATGCTAGCTGCCGAATCTAACCAAAGGGAGACCCCTGGTAAGAGGGGGTGGTGGTAAGTGCCAACCCTCAGTCAGAGATAGGTGCCCAAGTCCATGAAGGTACCTTGACTAGTGATCCACAAACTGGGCAAGAGGGCATTTGGCTGCCTAAATTACATGAAAGAAAACAGGAGGACCACCTCCATTATAACCTTTTGCCTAGTGGATAGGGTGCTCATCAGGCTGGGGGATCCCTGCTTCAAGGCCCTGCCCCATCCTCATGAGGCAAAGGGGATGAGCCAACTCTCAGGTCAGTGCTCTAACCACAAGGTTATGGGATATTCTGATTTGGGGGGGGAGTGTCTCTTAATCTCTGCTGTTGACGTGGCGGCCCTTGAATTAAACAATGGAATATGTAAATATTAATTGGGCCAGAGAGAGAGTGTGTAAAGCACTCTATAACCTGGTGGATAGGATGCTTCCCTGAGCAAAGGCAGATCCTGTTCAAATCCTTTTTCCCCATCAGGCAGAAGTGGGGACTTGAATGGGGATTTCCTACATCTTGGATGACTACCTTATGCCCTAAATTGAAGATTATAAAGGAGGTTGTCTTCCTAACCCCTTCCCTCCTGCCATGCCACAGCTATTTTATGTGAATTTGTCTGAGGAGGCCAATCTGGTAGGTGTGCTCAGAGGCCACCTACTGGACAGTCCTCTGCCCATGACTAGGGCAGCTGAATGTCTACCTTGGATTGTGAATCGCTCTGGGGCACGGGCAGGAGACAGGTATCCAGATTAGGGTGACCAGATGTCTCGATTTTATAGGGACAGTCCCGATTTTGGGGTTTTTTTTCTTATATAAGCACCTATTACCCCCCACCCCCGTCCCGATTTTTCAGGCTTGCTGTCTGGTCACCCTAATCCAGATGCCTATTATGAGGCAGCATTGTGTGTATGTGCTCAGGCAGGAGGTGGGCATCCTGGTGCTGCAGTGCGCATGCCTAGAGGAAAAACTTAAGTGTTGAGAGTTTGTGCCGACAGTGTTAGGCGGTAGCCGAGCAGGAGGTTTGTGAATCACACTGGTGCCTAAAAATGAGACTTATGCACCTAGGTACCTTTGTAAATTCCACCCTTCGAGCATGCGCACACCATGGAGGAGGAGTTAACTGCTAGCCAAACCCAAATTAAGTTCCAGATGGATAGCTATTCAGCAATTTTCATGGACTTGAGGAGAAGGCAGGCACACTATGGAACGTGGCTGTTTCCCTTCTTCCTTCTGCTCTGAGCTGTAACGTTCCTACCAGATGGAGGGGTTTGGGAAGTGTCTGTGAGGAAGGGATTGAAAGCAGCAGGACTGCTACTCCCCTCCCCTCTCCCGAGTTTGATCCCTAATGAGCCATATTTTCTACTCTCTGCATCAGAGTGGCAGGTAGCACATTTAAAAGGAAAGCTATGCAGCTTCTCCATTTTAAAATCATGGCGAAAATGGCAATTATTTCAGTAAACAGACAATTGGAAGTGGTCTAAAGATTTCATAACTCTATGTAAAACTATGCTAGCTGGTGGAGGGTGGGTAATATTCATGGCTTTTCATGGGAGTCAAGGTACAGGAGTAATGATACAAGGTCTGTATATCTCCCATAAAGATAGTAAGTCCTGGAATCAATTTTTCAGAATTGGAAATGTCCTATCAAAAAAAAATAAAAAAAAATACCTTGTCTGGAAAAGTAATGCTTCAGAGTGTGTTCAGTTACCTAGTATTTACTTTAAATACAACATAATTTACTAAGGCAGTTGACTTGTATTCTACTTGCTAAGTCATTTCCCAATAAATTGACGTCTTATTACTTAAATGATAAATAAAATCTGTTTGTAATATAAAGCTTTATAAATATGTTTAATGTTGGCTTTGAAGATTGGCTAATATAATTAGATGTAGTAATATTGTCCTTTATTTATACTGTTTTGTTTTCCTTCTGTTTCATAACAGACTGGTAGTGAAACTGTAATCGGACATGGCAACCAGCTTACAGCTTTATAAGAAGAGTACATTTCCTCCTCTTCTGAATATTTATCAGCCACCACATTGCAGGAATGAGGTAATCATTTTAAAAGATGTCAAAGTTGTGAGTGAAATTCTTCTTTAAAACGTGAGAAGTATTTGCATTCTGGGAGAATGTCTTTATTTACTTAAAACATGCAGAAGATATGCAGTAACAGAGACCTAAGTGTTTTAGCACAAGCTCAGCTGATGAAATCCTCTTTTTTCTATTGTGACTTGTATTGCCATTTCTTGTGTAGTTAATGTTAAGGACCATATTTCTCCCCTCCTCCTCCCCAAAGTTCAGGTCAGATGAAAATTACAAAACAAACAAGGAAGGAGTAGGCTTCTGACTGCCTGCTTCTCTGACTAGCTGCTTGCCATCAAATGCAGACTATTGTTTGGGTCTGTGCGGCACAGGGAGTTAATTTTCAGCACCAGAGCCTTATCTAGTAAGTTCAAATTCTGAAGATCTCACAAGAGAGCAAGTTTAGTTGTCTCAGCAGGTCTTTTACTGGACATTCTTCCTCCTCAAAATTAATTGGGCATGACTTAGCCCTGGTCTACACTAAGTGGGGGAACAATCTAAGTTACGCAACTTCAGCTACGTGAATAATGTAGCTGAAGTCGACGTACTTAGATCGACTTACTGTGGTGTCTTCAGAGTGACACGGTGAGTCAACTGCTGCTGCTCCCCCATCGACTCCGCCTGCGCCTCTCGCTGCAGTGCAGTGCTTCCGTATTGTGATGCCAACTTTTCCAAACCTAGCACTAAAAATTTCCCAAATAGTTTTTTTTACAATGCTTCTGTATCCTGGGAAATTTCCCAAAACCTGGGAATTTGTCAGTAAAATGTTTCAACTTGAGAAATTGGGAATTTTCATTCAAAACATTTTACTCACAAATTCCCAGGTTTTGGGAAACTTCCCAGAATATAGAAGCACTGCTGCGGTGGAGTACAGAAGTCGACGGGAGAGCACTTGGGGGTCGATTTATCGCATCTGGACTAGACGCGATAAATGGATTCCCTGCTGGATCAATGGCGGGTAGTGAAGACATACCCTTAGGCCTTGGCTACACTTGCAGATGTACAGCGCTGTGAGTTAAACCTGACTTCGTGCAGCTGAGTAGCGAAAGCGCTGCAGTCTGTCCACACTGACAACTGCCCAGCGCACTGTCGTGGCCACATTTGTGGCAAGTGCAGCGCTATTGGGAGCGGTGCATTATGGGTAGCTATCCCACAGAGCACCTCTTCCCATTCTGGCGCCGTGGGTTGTGGGAAGGGGGCATGGGTGCAGGGTATTCTGGGTCCTGTCCCAACGCCCTGCGATGCATCGCTTCGCGTCCCAGAAATCCCTTTGTTTCTGTCCACCTTTGGCGCCATCTTTCAACGGTTTCTGTGCAGCGTGATCTGTCTGCGGGAAATGGAACCCGAACTGCTGAGGCATATGCTGACTTATCTCGCCAGCACGTCACATTTGGCTGTCGAACTATTCCTTAAGATCCAAAGTGACAGTGAAAGTGAGGAGTCTGATGATGCTATCGAGCCGCGTAACGCGTACGAAACGAAATTGCTTGTAGCATTCACGGACATGCTCAGCACCGTGGAACGCTGCTTTTGGGCTCAGGAAATAAGCACCGAGTGGTGGGATCACATCGTCATGGAAGTCTGGGATGACGAGCAGTGGCTGCAGAACTTTCGGATGAGAAAAGCCACTTTCATGGGACTGTGTGAGGAGCTTGCCCCCACCCTGCGGCGCAAGGACACGAGATTGAGAGCTGCCCTGCCAGTGGAGAAGCGGGTGGCTATTGCAATCTGGAAGTTGGCAACTCCAACAGCTACTGGTCAGTCGCAAACCAGTTTGGACTGGGAAAATCGACCGTTGGAATCGTGTTGATGCAAGTTTGCAAGGCCATTAATCGCATCCTACTCAGAAGAACCGTGACTCAGGGTAACGTGCAGGAAATAGTGGATGGCTTTGCACAAATGGGGTCCCCTAACTGTGGAGAGGTGATAGATGGGACGCACATTCCTGTTCTGGCACCGCCCCACCTAGGATCCGAGTACATTAATCGGAAGGGGTATTTCTCTATGGTTCTCCAGGCGCTTGTGGATCACCGTGGGCGTTTCATTGACATTAACACAGGCTGGCCTGGAAAGGTGCATGGCGCACGCATCTTTCAGAACACTTGGCTGTTCAGGAAGATGCAGGCCAGGACTTTTTTCCCAGAGCAGAAGATCATGGTAGGGGAAGTTGAAATGCCCATTGTGATCCTTGGAGACCCTGCTTACCCGTTAATGCCATGACTCATGAAACCCTACACAGGGAGCCTTGACGGCAGCAAGGAACGGTTCAACTACAGGCTGAGCGGGTGCCTTTGGCCGTTTAAAGGGCCGCTGGCGATCTCTGTATGGGAAGCTGGACTTGGCCGAAAACAGCATCCCCGCGGTTATATCCGTATGCTGTGCCCTCCATAATATTTGTGAAGGGAAGGGTGAAAGCTTCACTCAGGCATGGACCTCCGAGGTTCAACACCTGGAGGCTGAATTTGCACAGCCAGAGAGCAGGGCTATTACAGGGGCCCAACATGGGGCTGCAAGGATT